GTGACTGCAGTTCAAAATTATCATAGGGTGTGATAGTTGTTGGCGACGGCTTATCAGACTCTAGACAGATTTCACTCTTATTTATCTAGGAAATTTTAAACAAACTCGTAAATCAGTGTGACTCGTAAATCACCTAATAATATTAATAATTTGGAGCTATGTAATAGAAAGTAGAAGTTAGTGTGTTTTCAGCGCCACAGCGCCGGCTATTACAGAATTAGAAGTTCTTCCAAACACAATCTTTGTAACCTCTTATAGTAGGTTTCATTTCATTAAACCTCTAATGCAGCGACAGCGCTGTTGTTTGACGTTGTATTTTTAACAGAATAGCATTGCTGATACTATTCTCATGAGAATATACAGAAAAACCAAATGTAGTTGCCATTATGTTGTTGCGAGACATATAGATATCTCATGTAGATGTAGAAGCTTAATTTAGGCCAACTATACATATTTTACCATGTACCTTTCACGATGAAAATGAAATCGTGTTGTTAAAGCGATTGAAAGAAAGAACATCACGGTAAACAGTTTTGAATGTAAAGGAAGCAAAGACTAAAGAGTGGGAATTCACTAGACGAGCATGCCCGCGAGCAAGTCTGCAGGCATGCCCGCCGAATGTCTCTACTATAGATCTGTGTAATGACTGCGACGGTTCTACACTAGCCAAACATGCCTGCCCTATAATAACGAAGTCTAGCCAGCATGTCTGCAGACTTGTTCATTGGCCTGTCCGTCTAATGAATTTCCCGCTGAATGATAAAACAATCGGATCAACTTTCTCTGATTACCCGCTAGTAATCATATGGAGATATAGGTATTTCATTGAAGATCAATTGAAGAAAACAAAATATATTTTTAGCAGTTCTACAAAATATGCTTTACTAATAAGTGAAAATAAACTGTATATACAATCTAGGCTGTTACAAGCACTCGGGAAGCTCTAAAAACTAATTTAACCATCACAAGTCTACGGCGGCGGACGTTTTGTAGTTAGAAAAACCGACAAGAAAATCAACCAAGCCTGTTTTGTCTACCTATTATTTCCTGCAGAGAAGTCCAATTGAAAAATGACTTAATTAAACTATGAAGTGACTTTCCATTGCAGTAATGAAAATAACTGAAGAAAAAAGTTATTCGTTGTGCTATTAAAATGCAAATGAGTTTTTCCTCTGTTTTTGAGCATGCTGCGATTCGTTGTACTAAACAGCATGTACATATAATGTACATTAATAGATTAACTTTTAATTGCATAAGTTACAAAATGAAACTGAAGTCAGCTTTATTTTTTTGAGAACCTCTTCAGTCGAGTGGTTCACCCGCCGGTTTCAAGTTGTTGCCATCTCTTAGGTCCCGGGCTCGATTGCCGGTCGGGTCACTGTAGAAAATGAACTTTTCTATATTGTCTCGGGTCTGGGTGTTGTCATACCTTCGTTGTCTCAGATACTCCATAATACGGGGGTTCTAGCTGCTCATCTTGGAATCCGAGCAATATATGTGATGTTATCTAATATTTATTTAAGTTAAGGGGTTAAACATTTATTTGTTTTCACTGTCCAAGTGGCCTTTGATGGTGCTAGTGTACAGGTTGGATTTATAAGTATTTTATTGAATGTTATCTTTATCATCCTATCAATGTCCCCGCTACACAATAAATGGACAATTGCCTACCACACTACCCCAGTGCGGATATTAACGAATTCTGATACTACCGTCTGGGTCAAGGTAAAGCTCAAAATTATATATTTTTGGTCACTGTTCTATACTTACGAAAGTTACATGAATGCAGCACCGCATATATTTGAAAAAAAATGATAGGTTTATATGACTTGATATGCTGTTGACTGTACCTAAAACGTTTGCTATACGTACGTACTCTAGTTAGCAGTGAAAGGTAAATAAAAAAATACTTATTTGTGCGAGGGCAAAACTTCTGTGTGTCAAACTAATTTATCTGTAAGTGAGCCTGCGAAATCAATTAAAACTTTTATTTTGTAAACTTTTATAAAGTATAAATTCTTTATGTCGTTTTAATTTTAATGATCCATTTAATCGATACAAGGTAAATTGATTTTTCATGATTTGACATCTTTGTCGGGAAACTAATTGAAGCTGTTTATACGGGCCTTTGTAGGAATCGTGTTTGCGCTTATATTATTTCATTTATTCATTATATTCATTACAATAAGCTGATAATTAGAATACAAGAATAAAAAGATGGCTCATTTTGTCGTTTTAATATAAACATACTACTTCATAGATACCTGTAATAATTTAGAAAATATGCTTGATGATGCAGTGGTCAACGCAATTAGTATGAATTTTCGTAAGGGCCGATCATAGAATGGATGACCAAAAATGTAATTGCTCGTATTCCTTCGTGCTTCGGTGGGCACCTTAAGCCGTTGGTCCCGTCTGCACCAGCAGTCATTGACACCCAGCAATTCGGACTGGGTCTGCTTAGTGGGTTAAAGCCGTTCACCCTATTCAATTCCATCTATAGCCCTGCGCCCCAACAGTGGGGATATTAATTGGCTAAACGTGATGATTTTTATTAATATACGATAATTAGTTTTCGGAGAAAAAATAATTTTCTCCGTCTATTCTAAATGTTCCGAAACTTTGTTCGTGGATGCATTTAATAATGAGGGCGTCGTGCTTACAATTGTTTTTAATAATTAAACGTTATAAATTCGAAATGACTTTGAAACTTTTTGGTGAATGAATTTTGCAATGCGTCAATTCCAAAATATCATTAAAATATTACAGGAATTTTAGTAACAGATTTAAACAGAGATAGGCTATCTTTCATTCATTTCATTTTACATGTAAAAATTAATTAATTTACTTGACATTGGCAGAATTGTGCGAAATGCGCAGATAAGCCATTAAATAAAAAAGAAGAAGAAGAAACAGAGATATAATACTTATACTTCATGATAACAAGATATATACTATAATGAAAACAAGATTTCACTGCAAATGCAAATATTTTACTAACGGGAAAGCGATAAACATCTCACTTATAAAAAAAAATGTTAATCCAAATCGCTCGATCGGGTCATAAACAGGTAAAAATCTCAACAGCGGTAGCTTTGTCGAGAAACCCATAGCAAGTGCCATTACGTATTTCCAAAAGTCGTTAACGTAAAATAAAATGGTTTTAACGACGCCATCACATCTGGAAAAAAACAGGGAGAAACAGGTGAGGCGGTGGGGAGGCTGATAGAGAGGACTATAAACGATTACACTGCTTCATTACATTAAAATTTAATTATTCTTTCAACGCCTTCGCTGATAAAAAAATAAAAGGGTGGTACCTACCTGTGCCTCAATATTGACCGTAATTAATATAAAATGACATGTACATTATAACGTATACACATGATTAAGAGGGTCAGCAGGCAGGGTACGGATACCGTCTGTACGCTCATCTCATTGGCCAATAAAACAATGACCAGCCAATGAAGCCACGAATGAAAACGATGGATGTCATTGACCAATCTAATGGTTAGATACGGTTATTCAGCAGTTTTATTCTGTAAAAAATCAGTACTGATCTCAATTTCAGCATTATCATAACATAGAGGTGCAATCGAATAAGACGTATTTCAAAAAGTAGTAAGGTTTTGTCATTGAACCTCTATGATATGATAGCGCTGTGATCGACGTTGAGACCTGAGGTTGTGAGGTTGGTACACCCGTAGTTACTATACAAACAGTTACCCATACAGATTTTACTCTACTATGAGTCTGCCCAAATATCACATGGTGAAACGGTCCAGTGTTTTCTGAGCTGGCCCTGAAACTTCTCCCAACGGGAGGTAATTCGTGGATTTTATCAGGCTAACCACATTTTTTCCTCGGTTCTCAAGACAGGATCTAGTGGTTTGAGAGCCCCGATTAAAGTCTGAAGATGTATTTTCATTGTGTTACAAAAAAAAAGGTCATATGTCATAACTATTCATAAATAATACAAACATACATATCTAAAGAAAACAAATTGCGACGGCCTTTATCTGCTCGACTTTATACTGTATCAAATAAAACAATCAACCGATCACATTATCACTATATAAAAAGAACTAAAAAGCAGTCTATCCATCGTACATTTGTCAAAGAAACAACAAAAGCATTCCGGATATCTTAGCTGACCAGGTACCCGAACGACAGACGATAAATCTCCTAAGTCGCATTTCCTGGATTTTCTTTTCTTCGACAATGCTTTATTTCTAAATCCACATACATTTCACTCTCACAATTTATAGTTGAGAGGGCGATAAAGCAAATCATTAATGTCAAGTTGAAGTGAGAATTAAATAAGTAATAATTGTAAATGACAGGTTATAACATCACATCTCGGCCATAGTGGTTTTTCATTCCATTTTTTTATCCATCTTTTCAAGCAATAACTATTAATAAAAAATAATTCTTAGAATAAATGTTGATGTTAGGAAACTTCCTTATCATTTAGGAAATTTTGATAACCACGCCTAGATATTTTATTATTATAATAGACTCTTTTAATATACACCAATTAGAAGACGTAAATAAAATATTGCATAATCAAACGTAACCTTTCGACATCGTACATTCAAAATATTGCTCGCGCGTGTTAAAAATTACAACTAAATGACATTATTTGATCGTATCCAAATAGAAAGTCGCCTGATAATTGACCTGCTACGTAAAAATATAAGTCCAAAACTAAAAGACCTGAAAAAAATTTAGACGAACTCAAACGTGAAGATCAAATAACGATTTCAAGATATCGCCATCTCTTAGGTCACGATGTATAATCTAGATGTTGTAGGCCTTCGTTATTTCAGACTTTCATAATACAAATGTATCAACTAATTATATATGGGATCTTAGCAATGTATCTGATATGTTATAATTTATGTATTAAAAAAGCCTCAATTTAATTTATTACTATCGCGATGTCCGCAGTTAAAAACACTACAGTAGAGTTGTTTCAGACATAATGGAATAATAACAAAATGTGGGGATTTTCACTCGTTGTTTACCATAGACTGTTCCAACAATACACAAGGACAACTGTACAAACACTATACTTTAATTCCATTAGATTGTCGGATTTCCAGAGATTTCCGAGCAGATTCTACTGGGTTTTGACCACGAACTCGAGGTATGTTTACACAAATAAAACAAGTCGTTGTCAATACACGATGCAATCAGTGGAAAACTAAGTTAAACACGAGTCAATTAATGGTTCCAGGATTGCAACTATAGAGGTATTATCGAGTCTTGTGATATAAATGATTAAGTTTAAAAGAAAGAGTTTAAGGTTGAAAGATAATCATATCTCTCGAGAGAAAGTAATAATACTATTTTGATAATATGAAGTTAAAGTTCTTGTTTTCACTGAATATTTCAATATGACCTAGAAGTCCGAAGATTAAGGGACTTCATATTAAATGAGAAGAAATGTGTGAGTCATTTTCTAATCGCGATAATTACACAGCACTTTTACGATAGTTGTAATTATTTACAAGTAATCAAATTAAAAACCGTTTCTGCCCACCTTTCACCATCCTCCATCTATATCTATTTTAATGTCGAGCGCAATAAGTAAGACGGGTACAGTCTTTTGCCTTTCTAAACCAGTAAATAAAAATGTTTTAAAACCTGTAATGTGCTTGAAGGCACCTACGCCACCCTACGAAACCCAATGTGACTGGAATTATAACAAGGCAGTACTTTTATCGGGTACCCAACACCGTATTTTATCATTTTAATGTAATGAGAAACATCGATAAAGCTACAGCATTTGGCATTATAACATAAAATTTATTGAAACCCCTTTTACTGGGAATTTTCAATGTTATTATTCCGTTACATAATTATATTAGGTACGTGAAGCGATAGGACTTTAATACCTACGGCTTAATTCTGTTATATTATACAATATTATATTGATTTCATATATTTTCAAGCGCATTATCCATAAATAGAACAACTTTTAAACAGTTTCATCGCGTTTGTATTTAGTTTTATTGACGTTTCGTACCCTTTACATGTTCCGTGTTCACAAAAGACTGAGGTGTTGATTTTCTTTTTAATGAAGAGTATAGCTACCTTCAAAACAATACTATTGGACATATTCACAATACAAAAGATATATACTTATTATTATTATTATATATAAATATTATTATTATTATTATTTACCCGTGGCATTAGTAAGTTGAAAACTTCATAAATTGAGGCTGTATAAATTGGTTTGTTTGCGTTAACATGTGACGTTAGATTTCATATTATTACAACTGGCCTACCGAACATTCTTCTTTTTATATTTCTAAAACGTGATTCTTTACAACATTTTGTCAATGTCAATTCATGTTTATTTTATTACGTGAGCTGACGTATTGAAAAAAAAATGGTTTTTAAAAAATCGAACCCCTTTAAGTTTTAATAAACCTTATTTAAAATCTAAAAGTAATAAAATATACAGTTCAAGTACAACCATATGAAAAAACTGATATTTGTATTCATAAAAAACAAAATCATCAAATCAAAACCTAACGCCGTCAATTGAAAACCAAAAATAATTAAATCGTGCCGTTCCTCATTAAGGGCGAAAATCTTTTCATATTTCGATTTCTATAGCGTTTCCGTACCCACCTGGAAATATGGTATTATCAGGAGACCTACAAATCCGGCACTGGGATCATTTTACATTTTACCACGCCCAGTAAACTTTGAAACAGGGGCAAAGTGGGCTTTTGCGAAGTGCACAAGAAAATCTACCTTCCCTAGCTACATTATATAACGTGCTCAAGAACTATTTCCATGCTAAGTTCTCACGTGTCTCGGAATAAAGATGTTATGAGGATACTCCGTTTTTTATCGTAAATCCCGCTTACGACAAAAAAAAAGTGGATGAATAGAAATTGTTAAATTGCGAAAACCGGTGTAATAGTGTCATTGTTATTAAATATTATGGAAATTCTGGCGTCTTTTTTACATCTATTTTGTTGATATCAGATTGAATATTAGATCTATACGATGAAAGTATAGTTTTGAAATGTCATCAAGCATCTGCAAAAGTCTAGTTGTTAATAGAACACTGAAAACAACAGGAATTTATTGGAATTAAAACTTCGTAATATATATATTCATTGGATTAGACACCTCCAAGTGTTACTTTAGACTTACTGCAATTCCTTATCTTATGTAGCTGCTAATAATGTAAATATATTTCTCTTTTAGCTCCAGATATGCGAGACCGATGGTATAGAGGAACTGAGCGACGAAGAATCCCCGAGCTGCGGACAGCGCCGCCTTGTTGTTGTCAAAACTCTATGGCGCGGCTGCCATAGCGACGTCAAGTTAGTATCACATACAACTTTCTTACTTAAACCTACCTTCTTCTTCTTATATTTTAATGGCTACTTTGCGCCAACCACGATTCTGCCAACTTTATGTAGGCAGCCATTACACGATGTAAATAAATTTGATCGAATTTGAATTTTGAGTTACCAATTCCTTTCTACTTAACTTTTTGTCATCAATTCTGTTACTTTGCTCCTGCTATTTCTATGGAAATCACCTAATTGTCACGTGTTGAAGTACGCGTGTCACCTCAAGGACTTAAAAGGCATCCGTGAAATGCCGAGGGGAGGACCGGCGGCCCCGTTAGAGAGAAAGTCCCAATGACCCTGCTATGTCTTCCCAAGTCTCATTCTGCGAGGGGTAATCATAAAGAGGGTGAAGAGAGAGCAGGCTTCGTGAACGCTTTGGATTGAAAAATTGGACGGGTCCTGGAGCTTCCCGTAGGAAAGTACTTCCCCCACCTTATAAAAAGGACAACATGAAAGAATATCAAGAATATAATAAAACAACTGCAAAGTGGGAATTATAGAACTCGCAAGTTTGATGTTGAAGAGAAATAGTGATAGGAATCTTCGCTACACTATCTCGTCATACTGAGTTTTTGCATAAGTTTCTTAATTTAAATCACTGAATTGTGTGTTGCAGGGCCGCGTTCGCCCGCGAGGCAACCTGGGGCGCTGGTCTGAAACACCCACAACTAGCCAGAGTACTAGGTTTGAGTCTACTCGAGCCCCCGTGCGCAGCGCTAGACCGCGGCGATGCCGTTCACCTGCCTACGATATTGAGACTGGACAGGAAGTTGAAGTAAGTAGATGCCTACAAAACAACAGAGGTACTATTGTACCTCACTATGGTACTATTGTACTCTCAATAATTAAAAATCTCATAAGGAAAAAAATACACATATTCAAATTGGTTTATCCGTCCGATTCTCACTGTTAATTATCTCCACTACTTAGATTGAATATTGTTCCACATATGTTAGTTGATAACACAAAGGTATTAGTGCAAATATATTAATTTTAAAAAGATCTCTTTTTACCCCCTAGGTATTATAGGAAACTAATAAATGCTTGTTTAGTGAATCTCAAATACCTTTAATCTTGACCAGGTTCGTACAATACCCGTCGTGCGATTCTTTAATTTAACGGTGCACGGTATATATTTTCTTTGCCGCTCGTCACTTCCCGCGTTGCTGATCTCTTATTTCGATTGAGCGTTTACACGATCAAATATCTAAAGAAATTTGTGTATTTAATCTCATCTTACGACAAAATCGTATCGTACGAACATTGCCAATAGGACAATATATTTGCTTCAACAGTTTTTTTTAACTTTTGTGTTTACGTGATAACAGTTTACAAAATATAATACGTTTCTTCTACAGTTATTCGAGTTTGATTCACATATGTTGCCAAATCGCCGCCGGTATGAAATATCTGGAGTCGTTCGAGTTGGTCCACAGGGACTTGGCGGCTCGGTAAGTTAATACTACTTAATTTCATTTTATTTAGCTACAATTTCCAATACTTTGGCATTTTAAAGTGCTATTATTATCGGTTATATAGTTTCTTATTATTTAAAATCCAAACAATGGGTAATAAGTTTGATTAGTGAGGCTTGAAACTGTAAGTAAATGTTGATTTGAACTCGAATGTCGTACCTGCTTTATATAATAATTTTAATATTATTAATATAATCAGTTGATATAATTATTCATAAAACAAGCTAAGTCTTTCTTCTGTATTTATATTATATAAGGTAAAGTAGCTCTCTAATTTTAACTCTCCGACCGTATTTCTATCCATAATCAATGGGCTTTTACTGATAGAACAACAAACGTAATAATAATTTGAACTCATACTAAGAGGGCGTTTACACCACTAATATGGTATTTATTGGAATGAAAATGACTAACCGAGCTGTCAAATTCGATTGCTAGGGACTAACGAATATCGCTACTTTGACAGTTGCAATCGGTACCTAACAAATAACAATATACTCAACCGTAGAGAGTTACAATAATTGTTAACTTGCGATCGCTATAAGTTAGCGATCGAATTCGGTTAGATTGCAGTCGCAAACTCTGTCGAGACTGCAGCCCCTGAGGTATAATATCTAGCCATAGAGTTATAATATCTTCGTGATGAAGTGTCGATATTTCGTTTCATTACACTACTTTAACATTTACTTTATTAGGGACGAACGAATGATAGTAGATTTAACAGCTGAGTTACCAAATTAGGATTTCTATCCCTAATTTATCCACCGAAAAACGTATCAATGAAGTAGAAACGTCTACTACTACATCTTGGCGGCATTGCCATAGCATCGCTAAGATGTTGCATCCTATTTCTAAATTCATGGCTATAAAGTTAGACAATCGTTCTACTGACCTCTCAATTCCAACTGCAGTCTCGCTACGCGCCTGACGACATCAGTGATCTTAGTCTGCTGCCTCAACCATTCATTTGTTAACCAGTTTTCTCCCCAGCGCTCCAAAGAATTATCTAATTATATTATTCCTCCGAAGACTTAACTGCTTTGTAAAACCAGACAGTTAATGTTATAAGTATAGTATAGTTTTACGATAAAAAAATTATACATAACTGTCTGTCTTCACTATAAGCTTTATATAAAACTGAAATTAATTGGTGAATTATAAAAACAACTGATATATAACATTTTTATCTCCCGCTTCGGCGAAAGGATCTCCTTTTTTACATATAAGCTTGAAAATTCCGCTTTTCCCCGAAATAAAATCTGACAACGCTGGAATATACACAGCAGCTATTCAAAGTGGTCTTTGCTCTTCAAACTTGCATAATTACTAAGTAACGAGTGAGTACTCTTTGAATAGTTCGAGTGACTTCCCTAGTACTGGGTACATATTTAATGTAAACGTATAATAATATTTTCTATAATAATAAAATATGTTTTCAGAAACGTAACAGTGACTGAAGACTTGAACGTGAAGGTAGCCGATTACGCTATGTTCTGTGAAGAATTCATAGGTGACTACCATGTGATGGCCGACGGATCTCGCTTACCACTCCGCTGGATGTCTTGGGAGAGCCTTCTGATGGTATTACCAACTTACAACATACAACAAGTTTCTTAGAAAAAAAAAACAACTTACTAATCCAATGACACATATTTTAATTCAAGATTCATAAAAGGAGCGTACTCAAAGCACACATCCAAAGCTATATTCACCTTCTCCTTTCAAATTGATTATATATAAATTTTATAAACTTGCAAGGAGCTGGCTCATTTTCCATATATTGTTTGCCCTACAAATAAAAACCAGTTCACCTTATCGTATACAGTAATTAGAATAAATTTAAATTATAACTCAATAACGGACTACTTTTATACTTCAATAATACTTCAGGAAACAAGTACAGGACACATTAAAAAAAAACCTCATCGTGTCCAATACCGAATTCATCTTTTAACTTAAAATAAAAAGATCTAATTCTAAGTGAAAGTAAACAACTTAATGAAATATGAGGAGATCATAAGTGAAATGGCAATTTTATTGAACGGCTACATCTGATGGTGTCGTGTAACTTTCCAGCACAAAGCTATATTTTATATAAAGGCTCACACAGACCGGAAACTATTTAACCTTAAATAAAATCTACGATAGCACTGATTTGCAGAAAAGTTCAATGAATTAAAAACTTTTTTACCTTATGAATTCGATTTTACTGTGCTCGACGTTACTTTTAGCACCAGAGATGTAACGAATTATAACATGAATTCAGCGGTTGGTCCATCAGCCCCTGAAGTATTTCTCCCATGGACAATACGTATCTTAACGATTCTTAGTTTAAAATATGCTTATGTTAGAAACAAATATTTACATTGCTATTTCTCATAATGACAATATATTAATAAACGTTTTAAAGCTTATTGGTTTGTAGTAGTAGAAATATTTGAACATGATTGCCTCCGGAGAAAATAGACTAATCGGAATGTAGAGACTAGTGGCATCAAGTTTCCGAGAAGTAGTCAACAACGGAGATCGTCGATGCCTAACCTCTAGGAGTCTACTAAAACTAATTCTATTTCAGGGCATGTATTCCCCGGCGAGTGATGTGTGGTCCTTTGGTGTAACAGTATGGGAAGTTCTAACTTACTGTCTAGTTAAACCATTTGAAGAAATGAACGATGATCAGGTACGTTTATCTCAATTAATTATTAACAAACACCGGACGTATAAGCTTCCAGTCGTACAATAATAATTCTATTAATATTATAAATGTGAAAGTTTGTTTGGATGTTTGTCGGTCAATCACGCCGAAACAAATGAACGGATTTTGATGAAATTTGTTATACAGATAGGGTATTAGCTGACTTAGATAATAGGATACTTTTTATCCCTCTAAACATTTCCCTAGGGACTACACGGGCGAAGCCGCTGGCGAAAGCTAATATGGAATAAAACCTTATTAACCTTTGAAGTAGGTTTCATTGCTTTGACAGCTCTAAGATCGACATTGAATTCAACGCCGATTTTATAACAAAATAGCATTACTTGACATGATATTAAAGCAAAATCGTGTACAGGTGGTCGCAAACGCGAGCGAGTGGCGTTGCGGTGGTCGTAATGCGTGCGTACCTGCCGCCCCGCCACCGCGCTGCCGACGCGAGTTATACGACCTCATGCATGAGTGCTGGCGCCGGGAGCCCGCTCAGAGACCTCGATTCCACGACCTGCACCGTTACCTAGACCGCATGACTCACGGGTACAAACCCCCTAACAATCGCTAAGCTCCTATATACGAAGTGCACCCGCTAATTTTGTTGTCTAACCAGTAGCTGGCGATTTATTCTGAAAGGCAAATCACACTTGGCCGTTCGCCCATGTTTTATCAATGATGTCATGAATGTTTAACTCTTATTCGGGCAAACGACCAAGATGTAAACTCAAAAAGGCGAGTTTTGTCGTTTCGTGTGTCTAAATAGTAGTTTAAAAATAAAAATAGACTTTTGTTGGTGTTAGATAATAAGTACTGAGCGACTCGACTAGTCTAGGATATACTACCAGGATTTAAGAAACTATTGAATGAAATTATGTTGTTCAATTCATTCAGATACCAATTAATAATCAAGTGTAATAATATATTGAATGTTTCGTAATTTATACGGTAGGAATTTTGAACTAAGTATATTTTAATATACAGGTTTCATGACATTGGAGAAATGTCATCTACAAGATTTATCTATATTTATCTTGAAATTGTTTATTTTCCTTCTTTTTCAGCTGTATCTAAAAAACGTTTACGTGTCATTACTTTGAAATGAGTTATACTAACAGGAGTTTGTTTATATAATTTTTTATTTTAGAAACTCCCAGAAAACGAAATTGTGTGAAAAAATTTAAACGCCATCAACGTCAACACAATGTTCTTATCATACGAAATAACTACGATATATAAAGTAATGCAAAGACAATAATGACGGTATTTAAAATTAGGTATTAATAAAAAATATATATAAATCATTGTCACGTCACAAATGTGTCGTGTGTGATAAGCTTAAATTAAATTATCATCCACAAACATATGATCAACACAAACGATGCTGGAGTACTTTAAGTGATTTATAAATATCAACTTCATATATTTATATATCATATAGAACTAAATATGTACTATGTGTATAGTGTTTTATTCAGACAGATATAGCTGTTTGGACACGTTCTGATGTCCTTGTTAACCCTCGTCCTGGACATCTATAAAATGATCTTGTAAATATTTATCATTTACTGATAAGCTGATCAACCTAGCATTCCTACTTAATAGAATTTAATAATAAATCAGATGGCCTTTCCTGAATTAACCAACATTCTTAAAGAATTTCTGAAATTGAACATATTTGTACAGGAAACCAATTTTACTATCTTTTTTAGTCAAATTTTCAGACAATTAATTGGATTAATAAGGAATATTCATTCAAATTCATATAGTTTTTACCTCAACCGAAAAAAATGCGGAAGATTTTATGCTACACTAACGCACATAGAATTTGCTTCAGCATAGCAAAATAAAAACAGAAACGGACTCCGTTGCTATACTACCAAAGAAATAGGAATACCTACATTAAAATGTGGCAAAAATCTATAAATGTTATGTGCCATTAAATCTCAATTGTAAATATTTATGGATTTAAACCGTCGCACCATGCCCATGCCCTTGATAGTAAATAAGGGAGAAATCTTCATTATCAATTTATTATAAAAACCAAAAATTCAGGGCATGGTGAAATTAATTGTTAGATTTTAATAATAAATGTCTTTGTATTGTCGTCGCTACGTTCTTTTTTTAACAGCTTATTTCCCTCTTAATTCATGCCACTAAATGCATACATTTGGAAAAACATTTGTAATAAAACCTACTTAATTTTAGGCAACTTCTTCAAATTTCCCGAATATCAATAATGTCACCAAGTCCATAATACCTAATTATAGTATTAAGCATGGTGGTTATTTGCTAATTGATTTCTATTTTTGTGCTTTCTGTCTTTATGCCACTGACGTCTAACTTTATTTACAGAATCTTTTATAATTAGCTTGCGTTTGCTTAACTGTTAATTGTAAGTAGAATATACTTTGTACATTCAGCAACAATGCATTTATTCGCCACAGCAATAAAGAGATTAGATTTGTAACATACCGGAGTAGATCACATAACTTTGTGTAGATTTATATTAAGTGTAAGATAAGTTTATTGTTAAAATAATTTGAATATACACGATATCAAAATACATTACATACATAACTACATAAACATTTTATTAGAGGAACGTATTGGCATACAATTTTTAATACATCATCTAGAATAATGAATATAAAGCAACTCTGAGTAATTTAAATGATAAAGATATGAAGACTCCTACCAACTATGAATCATAATGGCAGCCTTTTCTTATCAAAAATACTTATACCAACAACGGTACATGTAAACTCGTCACATTTAGTAAATCCAAAGCATAAATCCAATAGGACTTGTGATGTTGGAATAGTAGAAATTTAATTGTATGATAATATACTGAAGGATTTTAAAATAAACTATCATACTAACGTACCGTCCAAGAAATAAAAAATTCATCGCATAAAACAAAAGGGTTTTCTAGAAAGTTTCCAGATTTATCTTTTCCTAACAAACATTCGAGTTAAATTCTATTTTAGAGAACAATTCTTAATTTATTGAATGCAAAATGAAAAGCATCTAATTCGTGCTTTAATATTTTTTGTAACATCGTAATTGCTTGGTAGGAATCAAATCCGCTAATCTTGCTTAATATGCGCAATTTGATATATTTACATTTAGTTTTACTTAATAAACTCATATACACCGACAAAACTATTGACTCATAAAATTAAAAACTAACTTTGTGAAATTTATAGTTTTGGATCTCTGAAATATCCATTCAGTTTGTTCATTGCGGAGTTGAAATATATTTAACGAAAAACGAGTCAATATTACACAGACTAAACTGATACATATCTATTTAAATTTAGATTACTTGAATCCTTAGCTGAACCTACGCAATCCTAATATTCTCTGCCATATACTGGATCACATCATTGTAAATATTATAAGTATGCTTATTTTAAAAAGTAATTAAGTCCTATATATAGATTGCATATAAAGTAGTTAGTCGTATATGAATCTAATAAGAATTTGTAATGACTTACATATTTTACAATATAATTTCCTCGACACCTCTCTTACTATAGGGGAGTTAGAGATAGTCGCTAATCGTTGTGACTAATTTGCTTAATGTTTTCGGTGTTATCATTCGATTAAGAGGACATCCTCTTGGCATCGAAATCAATTCAGTAGTCAATTTTGAACTGTGTCAAGTATATATAATGTAGATATTCTATTGTAATGGTGCACTTCAGGTAGCATACGATTATTGTTGTACAGCAAAGAGCGAAGCGATGTTGTGGTGATGCTAAGAGCTTTTAAAGACCTAAGTATTTGTAGTAACTAATTAAGATACCTTATGATATTATTTTAAGAACTAACGTTACATTAGGTTGTATGCTTTTTAGATAAATGGCAATGTAAAAATTCTTTATTACCAGACTCGATCGGTCAAGATCTTGGGTGACTCATTTTAAACGAACTCTTTTTACGAGCGTCTGTCGGTTGTCTTTGCTTTACTATCGGAATATTCAAACAGACTGCGTAGTATATACGATATAAATCAAGCAGTATGAAATTCAGTATTATTAAGAGTAAAAAAGTATTTATAATTCATTAAGTTATGTATAAGCGTGCGCAGTAATGCTGCTTGTTGCGGGCTGTCCGCTTGCCAAACTGTTCGGCAATGTTGGCTAAGCAGCACAACAGTGTTGGCAAGTTCACAGCATCGCAGTTATATTATAAGTCATCTAAATTATCAACAGGGCGCGATGCTTTATCGTGAGCCGTTGATACTATTTACCTAAGTGGAGTAGGATCACGAACGGCCCCAGTTTTAACTTACGGGCGCTCTTGTAAATAATAATCGCCTCTTCTCAAGGATGGCCGCTCGGGAACCTATTCAATATCTGGCGGATGCCAACAAACGAATGTCACCTATTTTCCAATGTTGAGGTTGAAGGATCCGTCAGATAATATTTCACGCCTTTCCCCAGCGCCCTTCGCCATGCGCTCCCACGATCTTCCACTTTCATGATCGGCCTTTATGGCAAACCTCCCCCGTGACCACTACTCTAGTAAACGATAGAAACACTCGAGCGCTGTGTATGATGAATTGTAATCTTTGGCTGTGCAATGTTACTGAAATATGTTAAAGAAAGTTTTTCTCGTTTATTTCAGTAGTGACCACTTAGTCCGGTGGCTGGTCGTCTATAGAATTTGCAAATGATAGAACACACACATTTAATCACAAAGTAACACTTCATTGGATCACTTCATTAATTATTAAATCAATAAGGCATATAATCTTAAATGTAATAATCACAACAACTAACGGCGAGTCTGCGTGTTCAAAATATAATCTATATACGGACGGCCCTCGGCCTATTATATATCCAAAGTCTAACTCCTATTTTTTTAACCTGTTTTAAATGTTAAGGTTGTATACTTCAGAGGCGTGATCGCTTCTCGGGCGTTGTGAGCCCCCTGTGCTTCTTGTTTTCTTCAATAAGGTATTAAGGTTTCAGCCTTCACTATTCCGCGAATAAGTCTACGAAGCGGATTAATGAGATAGAGAGAGAGTATTTTAGTAAAGGACGGTTGACAACCATTCGACCGCAGATAAAGGGCCAATTTAACGAAAGGTGATTTGTCTTTCACTGCTTTAAGGTCGATATTCGCGGATAGCGTGGCCCAATCATGAGGTTGACTACAGCCGAATTACTCGTAACTAACTTTAGTCTTGGTCTAAGCCATGTGGCGAAATAACGTAATAATTATAGATACAATACATATACATGAATGTTTAATGTCACAGTGTAATTGATGTCAGTTATTAGGACCCAGTAACTCCCTCGATACAACCCCGCATCATCGAGGACCGCACAAACACGTATTCACAATTATTTCCATCCTTAATGTTCTAATATGCTTGTTGCACTTAACACTGATCACACAAAAATATGTATAACTATAATTACCTACCTATTTGATAATATTTAAGTGCAGATAAATCCATAATGGATTCTGTGTAAACCAAATAGACCGGCCTATTTATAATTTTTAAAACCTAAAGATTTTGTATTTCGATGAAACGGGGTGCATGCTGTTCCTTCA